AGATCTCGAGGAACTGACAGCAATCAGCTCAGTGCGAGACGAACTTACCGTTCACAGTGATAACATTCTACTACGTGACAAACGCATTATCTTATCAAAAGCCCTTCGTGACAGGGCTATAGACATTGCACATGAAGGTCATCAGGGGATGGCAAGAACAAAAGCTTTTCTTAGGTCAAAAGCATGGTTTCCTGGCATGGATGGGAGAGTTGAAAATCGTGTCACAAACTGCTCAGCCTGTCAACTCCTCACTCCGTAACGTCATACCATGGAGCCGTTGAAAATGTCGGAACTACCTGGTGGACCTTGGGAGAATTTGAGCATCGACTTCTGCGGACCATTACCCAGTGGAGATATTTATTTATGATAATTGACGAGTATTCACGTTACCCAGTAGTCGAGATTGTAAAATCAGTCTCAGCCATTCAGTCATACCTGTATTGGACTAATAGAATCATTCATTACTACGAGTGTGGGATAGTGAAATTCCACCGAGGGGACAAGATTCACAGTCTAGGATGAGGCTTTGCCGAGTCCTAGACCGTGAATCTTGGCCCCGAGGTGGAATTTCACTATTCCCACACGAGTAAGTAATGAATGATTATTTTTCTCGCATTATTTTATCCAAAATAACGCTGTCAATGACGTCGCCATAGGGCTAAAAATATATTTTTTTAATTTTCCATCTAATTAAAAATCTAAATTCACCATCGGAGAGAGCGTACCTGAAAATGGTTTAAACGTAGTGTAAACTAATAACATGAATTTCAGTCCATGTAAATTAATTAGATATATTAACACTGGGAATAAAAAACTTATCTATCCGATAGCGTAAACATTCATTCTAGAAGAATTCTTCCGCGATCTAAATATAGTGCCATTTAAAAAGTGAAAATACGACAATATTTTGAATGAAAATAAGTTTATTTTAATAAGTTAAATGACAACATTTTAATTATATGTGATAATTTTTAACATTATTACAATTTCTTTATATCAAGACAGAATGTTTACGTTATCGTCCGCGGCGTATTAATACACAGTGTAAGACAGAAAAATCCCACACTGCTGTCTCACACCGGACAAGTCAATCTAACACTGGTAATTATGCGAGAAAAAGTTATCAGCGCATATGGGATACCCAAGATAATAAAGAGTGACAATGGAAGCCCATTTCAATCATATGAATTCAGAGGATATGCAGAACATATGGGGTTTATCCATCGAAGGATAACACCACGATGGCCCAGAGCCAATGCTCAAACCGAAAGTTTTAACAAGCCGTTGATGAAAGCTGTGCACTCTGCTCATATTGAGGGACTTAACTGGCGGCAAGAGTTGTATCGCTTTGCTCAGACAATATCGTGCCACGCCACATTCATCCACCGAACGAACACCGTTCATGTTACTGTTCAATCGGGATCCGAAGACAAGGTTACCAGTAACCACTCACAGAGATTTGACTTGGACCGACTTTCAAGTTAGAGAGAAAGATAGCAAGAAGAAATTCGACATGATAAGTTATGCGGACAAGCTGAATCAAGCAAAGGAACGGGAGATTAGTGTAGGAGATTCCGTCGTGATGAAAAATGAAAAACGTGGTAAGATGCAGCCATACTTTTCGTATGAGCCAAAAATCGTTACGAACAAGAAAGGATCCATGATCACAGTGAATAGGGAAGTAACAAGCAACATGTCGCAGTTCAAGAAAATTAATCCAACACTCAATGATGAGTTGGAGAACAGAGCAAGGACGGAGGAGAATAATCGTGAGGAAATCAAGTTAGAGATGCACAGTCCGAAAGCTGATTTAGAAAATAGTGTTATGAAGCAGTGCAAGACAAGTCCATACGTGAAGAACATATCTCAGAAGCCTGTTGTGCAACCTTTGAGGCGAAGCCAAAGGTCGAAACAGCTTCCTGTAAATCTTAAAGATTTTGTGTTAAACTGACATTATGTTAAGGTGTGGCATTGCTGTGAAAATGGGCACAATAATCCCCAGCAGGTCACAAGACTAAGAAGTCCTTATTGTTTTATTTCTATATTCTTGGCATGTAATGATTACAAAAGACATTTGTCTATCATAATTTCAATGTTTAATACATAAACTGCTTAATCTTGATTAGTGACACCTGAAATATTAACTGTTTAGAACTGATGATAATTTTGAATGTTTTGAATTTTAATTTTGTATCAACTATCTAAAGAGGGGAGGAATGTAGTATCCGGAATTATTATGTCCTATCATGATTCTATTATAAGTTTATTTACCGGAAGTGTACAGTGAATAAATGATGTAAACAGCACATGGTTGTGGTGTCTGGAAAGTATCTAGAAGGCATCGGCCATCCTAACTATTCTATAACAATAGATACAACAATATCCTCTCTATTTATATATGATTTACATTGATTAATACTCATATTTGAATGTCAAAGAGAATAACTTTTTTGAGTTGAAAGCAAATTTATTTAGATCCGGCTAACAGCAGAACACTAAAACAAATGGTTTATAATTTCAAAACGACAGGAAAAAATACCCTTTGGTGTCAAATCTTCAGCCATGACTCCGAGATGCCCAGAAAAAGAGATTTGGGACGAAATAATTGATCAACAGTTTCTACCTGACACCCGACACGATTTAAATTTACAAATTTTGAAAGGATCCTCGTTCATCGTATGAATATGCATTTTATAGTAGTTTTGTCCAGTTTTTTTAAAAGAACGCTAGAAATAATAAACAAACTGTAATAAATTTCTGTTCTACAACACGACTTAGAATTAAGCAGTGTAAGTATTCTGCGAAATTCGAGTGTTCGTCATTTTGAATCGCCATTTTGAGCTAATGAACACATTTCAAATATAAACGATCAAATTTTCCGAATTAATGTGATAATATTAATGCTCTTTTATCAAATTCATAGTTGTACTACACTCAGTAAGACATTCTCAAATCACTTCTCCTATTTAAACAATAAGAAATAATTTGAAAAAATCAGTATCCGCCATTTTGACGTATAAAATACAGTTGCATAAACATTCAGTTGTAGAATAGTGAGATGCAGAGTAAAAAAAATACAAATCTGCAGTGTATGGATATTTGCAAAGGTAAAATCCTGAACATAGCAGAATATAGAAAAAAAAATAGACATATATTAAAAAATTAGAGAAAATTCGAATCAAATGTAGAAACGACTAAATTTTCTGAGTTAAAGTAATAATGTTAGCATTCTTTTATCATTTTTATTGCTGCATTACATTCAGTGAAATTTTCACACATTATCTCTCCCTTTTGGTCACCCGCGTGGCGCAGTGGTTAACTTAGCGCGTCTGCTCTAGAGTCGCGAAGGAAGGAGTCAATCCTTAAGTCGCGGGTTCGAATCCCATTGCGGGACGTGGAGACCGGTCCTTCGGATGAGATCGTATAAACCGAGGCCACGTGTCGCAGTAGGTGCTGGCACGAAAAAGATCCCTCACTACTCAAAGGCCCTGAGTGCCGAGCATAGGACAAAATTTGTAGCTCTCCATCGGCAAGTGATGGCGTCTCCTTATGAGTGAAAAATATTCGAGAGGGACGTTAAACAACATACAATCAATCAATCAATCTCCCTTTTGATCGATATTAAGAGAAAATTAGAAAAAAAATGGATGTCCGCCATTTTGAATCGCCATTTTGACCTTTTTAACGCCATTTTCATGAAGGCCAGCATATTTTTTTTTCGGATTCAGCATACTCGAAATAGGTTTAAAAAACTATGCCGGACCTAATAATAATTATTTGCCGTCAGAAGTATTTTTTTTTCTTTAAATCGGACAAAACTATAGGAGATTTTTCATTTTTAAAGAATTCACAGGTTTTTCCTTTATTGTCGACACAGAACAGATAAATCAGAAAAAATATGCTAGCTTTCATGAAAATGGCGTTAAATAGGTCAAAATGGCGATTCAAAATGGCGGATATCCATTTAACTAATTTATTTTATAATATTTTTCAAATTGGGACCCCACCCTACCCCACTGATCATAATGCTTATGACAGTTTGAGCCAAAATTCGTGCGGGAGCGAATCGCTTCCGCAGCTGCACCATTACGGAGATCCTAAGGGGATGTAGCCCTCTCCCACAAAAAAAAGGGGAGAGGGCTACATTATTGCAGCTACATTCTTCTTTGACTTTATGTGAACTCGCATATTAAGTAGTGTAATATTCATTACTTTATTAGATAAAGGGGGGTAGATTTTATTTGTATAACTCCAAGTTCAAGTCATTGTATTTCTTGGAATATTCCGTGAATCATGCCATGTTTGATTTGTTTATAGATTTACCATTGTGTTGGTCCCACATGTTTTTCTGTTATATGCTTATGTATTTTGATTATTATTTACCTGACAAGGCTATGTTCTTAAATTGTTCAAGATTTTATTGTCAATGAATATAAGAATTTACTTACAGGAGTTTCAGTGATGTTATTGAGTAATACACACCGTATTTATTATGACATGACATCTACTGTCAGTGCATGTAGGCCGCCATTGTATGACATCATCAAATAGTTCACTTGGCGCAATAATTTGGATTTGTTATAATGTAAAGGTAGTACAAGTAGATTCCTATTAAATTAAAGTTAAATTATAGTTTTTATAACTTGAACTATTTAAAAGATACCTGAAGATTTGATCTCTCTGTTTATGATTGTTGTCATTTAGCACTATTTATTTTGCTCAAGAATATTACCTAATCACTGATGTCTACTATAGTTACACCATAAGAGATAGTTCTTTGTTAAGAATTGTTTAATTCTTGATTTATTAAGTAAGTAATGCATTCATTTCATTGTGTATAGAGAATATATAGCTAATAGGATTATTTGGTAATATATGATTGTTTTTAATTGTTAGAATTATAATAATTTATGCCTGTCAAGATTGTCAGGGAAATGAAGCATTTTGATTGGTTAGTTTCTAGATGCAAAAGCTATATGAGAGCCAACTTCTCAGTTTTGTCAGATAGCTCCACTGAGCACTTGACTATTTGTTATCTTATTAGGTATGATGAATTCTGAAAACCAAGATCATAATTTTTATAAAGACAAGTTCTAATTATTATTCAGCATAAAGATTGTTTTCATGACTTGGCAACCCAGAATCCTGACATTTTGTAAATTCCTGACACTCAGATTCCTGACACCCAGATTTCCTGACAACATATTTCCTGACACCCAGAATCCTGACATTTTGTAAATTCCTGACAATATAATTCCTGACAAGTGAAATACTGACAATCTCTTATAATGTAAATTATTATTACTCTCCACATTTTTACTCCTGGTACAGCACTCTTTGTTATGAGAGTTATTCCCCTTTAAATCCCATTATGGCTATTAGATACCTAGAACTTTTTACTTAGCTATCTCCCACCACTCATGAGACCCTAACAAAATGTTGTGTGTATGTTGATAAAGGGACCAACACAGTTTTGTGCATCAAATGTTGACTTGTTTATTTATGCTTGCGATGAAAGTTAATAAACAGTTATAAAGAACATATGGAGTTCCTGTGTGAAACATCTACAATGGAAATAAGGATATTTTAAGGCCAGCCTGTTACAGTATTTTAGATATATATGATAAATAGAATAATACATTTACTAAAATCCATATATGTCATATCAGCCCTCGGGCCCCATATAAACCCTCGGGCTAATATGACATTATGTATATGGATACATTATGGATTTTAGTATGTAATATTCTCTATGTATTGCATGATTGGAAAGCAGAAGTTTCTTATTCTTATTAATGTCCAGGAAAAAGGTAATGACCTTAGCCTGACTTCGACTTTAATATAAAACGGTAACATCTAATTTAACTGTTCTTAATGTTTTTCCCATTAAAATTATGAATGAACCTTGCACTAAAATGTTTTTTTAAACCCGATCACTAGATTTTGACATAAAGTGCATGGGTTAATCCTTATTTTCCTGTTTTGTATTTTTTCTTTTTTTTTCTTATTTAGCAGGATCGAAGGTTAATTACTTTTTGAAAATATTATCTATCATGTACTAGCGCATCCTCCAATACTTACTGATAAGTGGTCGTCCACATTCATCACAAAAGTTCCCTAATTTTAACTTGTTGCAATTTGGACACGTTTTCTGGACTGCTACTTTCAGGCTTTTCCCACATGAATTACAGAATTTGCCCTCCATCACCTCTTTCTTGCAGTTTGGACATGTAATCCGCCTTAATGTGACAACTTCTTCACCACATTTTGAACAGAAGTTAGAACCCGCTGGCAAAAGGCTTTCGCAATGTTTGCATTTGTCATAACGATCTGATTTAATAAAAAAAAAAACAAAGGTAAATGTATTAAAAGGCATTTGAATAATAAAACAATCACAAATGAGACAAACTGAATATAAAATTAACAAAAAAATTCACAAAAATTATTTTCCAGGGAAAATTAGGTTATTTGTTTCAATTTTGCAAAATATTTCTGTTAGATAATATCATTCAAGAATAGCCGCATTTTAACTTATGAAAGCTTTAAGGTGTATACATACTTGACACACTACTGAATGAAGGCAAATCTGGATTGTTGTGGCCTAGATCTGTTAAAAATAAGTTTACATGAATTTCATCATTTTTCCTTGTATCACAGCTTAACGCCCCGAACACAGTCCACAAGGACGATGAATCAGCGCTTTACAACACAAAACCAAACCCATTTGACAACATAAAATGTATACTAGTACATAACATTTATCAAAATAAAAATTATTTTTACGAATATTTAAACCCCAGCCACATTTCCAAAAACGATCAACAACCGACGGTTTTTAAGGCTAAATAGAATCCTTCAGGCGACAGTTGGCCATTGTTTTGCCCGACTTTGACCTCTTTTATCGTTGGCCGACCAATTTTGTGTCGGGTCATGTTATTGTAATTTTTCTGTGTCTGTGGCCGATTCCTTCTATTGAAGCGGTCGTCAAATAGTCTGTCGACCAACTTTCGATGATCGTCCAACCGTCGGCGGACAGTTTTTATAGTCGGTCGTCGGTCGGTAGACAATTAGGATCTGGTTTTTCGCAAATGTAGGCTGACGGTGAAAATCAAACTGCGGTTAAGCGAACGATGAAAAAACAACTGTTGGCAGACTTATTTTTGATAGTTGTCGATGTTCTTGGAAATTAATGTGTCTGCTCCGCGTCGCTCGATACTACTTTCTGGCTATGGTCATTTTTTTTCAGAAAGAAAAGTGTTGTCGCCCGACCATTGTCCATTATTGTGACCTAAGCATATGTATATATTAACACGATGGCCGACCGTTATCATATCTAGAAAATGGCTCTTCACATTTTAAATTATAAGGTGCTGAATATTATACATCAAGCTCAAAAATTCCATATTTGTACCATGTTCTTAAAACATTGTTGTTTTAAGGCAAGAATACTTATTAAATTAGGTACATTTGTTTAGTCTACAGTGTACAATTGGGCAATCCACTTGGTCTCTCCACGAACCTGGGATAATATCGTAGTTTTAATTCTCATGGTCCGCTTCATGAATAATGATGATACCTGGATATCTCAGTCTCAGAAGAGGCTATTTTCTCACCTATATCCTTCACAGGTTTGGTGTTCTGTTCTAAAGTCCCCAGAAGACATCTGAAGCTATTAGCTAGAATCCTCTTTTTCTACCACTCTCTTTCCTCTTGATTGTAAATACTCTTCTCTGTAGACATGTGTCTTCTGCTTTATGGTTTTATGCGGCAGTTTCAAAAAGCAAATGCATTTTTCTTATATTTAAAGAAAGGTATTTCCTAGAAGTCATTAGGATAAATGTCAGAGGACAAGCTGAGCTAGTTCTAGGACATTCTCTTCCAGGCTGCTGAACAACTCCAAATATAAGAGCATCTGACATGTATTCTTTTTCACCATGCTCGATCCATAAAAATATGCAACACGCATCTTTCACAGCAAGAAGTGAAATTGAAAAGAAACTTTTGTAAAGTACAAGCTGTCAGTTTGAGGTGGCTTCTTGAATGAATCTAGGGCCCAACTAGACAGCTAAAGCTTTCTAGGCGTCAAGGGACACGGGTAAGTTAAACATATTATTCTTGTATGCTTATACAATTGCATGATACACTTCTGGAACATTGAACATTTAGACATTGAATACAAGCTAAACCACGATTTACACATTTTAGAATCATGGTCAGATAAATGGCTTCTAAAATTTAACCCATCTAAAACAAAGGTAGTCTTCTTTAACACAAAGGCCATTTCTATTATGCCAAAATTATTTGTTAAAGGAGATAGAGCTAGAATGCGTCCCAGTCCATAGACACTTGGGTTTATTATTGTCACAGAATCTCAGCTGGTCTGCATATATTGACGGTATTGTAAATAATGCTTATTAAAAACTTGGGCTTTTGAAAAAACTTAAGTTTAAATTGAGTAGAAAAAACCTTTCAAAATTGTACACTACATTTATTAGACCAATTCTCGAATACGCTTCTGTTGTATGGGATGGGTGCTCTGAACAAGATTCTGAAAAGCTGGAAAAAATACAACTAGCTGCGGCTAGAATTGTCACCGGACTTCCTATTTTTGCATCTACTGAAACACTTTATTTAGAAACTGGTTGGGAAACTTTAAAATTTAGGCGTTATGTTGCAAAAATGTCTACTATGTTCAAAATACATAAAGGGACTGTCCCTGAATATTTAAATAATATTGTACCAAACAAGCATGAAAATGTATCAAAATACAATACCCGCAATAAAGAACAGTTCATTATTCCAAGATGTAGATTAGAACTATTCAAAAAGCCATTTGTGCCAGACGCCGTGAAACAATGGAATTTATTGAAATTAGATACAAGAGAAGCCATCTCAATTAATTCCTTCCGTAAAAACTTAAGAGCTTGTACAAAAATCATCAATCCGCCAACATATTTTTTCTTTTGGTAAACGCTACACAAACATACTTCATACTAAACTAAGACACAACTGTTTACTTAATTATGATCTATATAAACGCAATATTATCAACAGTCCTCTTTGTTCCTGTGGAAAGTATGAAGATGTTTATCATTAATTTTTTGCTTGTACAAAGTATGCAAATGCTTGAAGAATTGGTTACAATAGACACTGACCTACTATTATGGGGTGATAGAGATTTGCCTGTATCAATTAATATTAATATTTTTGCTGCTGTCCACAGATTTATTACTGAAACATGTAGATTTTAAATTGATTTGTAATTTAATTGCATCACTTGAAAATATTATAATTATTATATTTTAATGTATTATTTGCATGACATATTGTTATATTTATGGAGAGGAACTAGTAAGTTGCAAGAACTTGTTTCCAATCCATTTGACTCGTTCAATAAAATATGTTCAAAACAAAACACTTCTGGAACTATTTTTAGATACTGGACACTCAAAAACGAGATACATACGAAAGTGACGAATAACCATTTCAAGTGGTAAGCTGCCTCAGTGCCACTGCCAATCTCAATACAGTGAAAGAGATTACCTAAAATTAGTGATTTCAATTTCAATCCCTGTGATTACTAGTATACTCTGCAAGACTTCTTCAAGAAGGATGTGGAGATAACGAACAATATTCAATCTCCAAGTCCATAAAACAAGACAAAAAGGGGCAGAGCAAACGCGGACCTCTGAAACATCAGAGGTGGCCAGGTGCCATGGAGAAGTGAGCATCCCCTGCTGATCGGTCACACCCGTCGTGTGCTCCTTGTCATGATAGGAAATAACGGGAAAATCGTCATCAATTCAGTATATAAATAATGAACTAACAATTGGTATGAAAAACGTCAGTCAGCATTTGACTCAATGATAAATTGTATTTGCTGACAAGGTCATTGTATCGACCATAGAACTTACCAAATTATAACTTTAAACGATACTGTTGTTATTCTTGTTTCATCAACTTGCTTGTCAATAATTTACCTCGTTTAAGAAATTGTTCATACGTACAGCATGCTCTTGCGTAACAAATCAACTGAGATATATATACTCCGTATGCAGGTGATGAAGGTATATTGCTGCATAATTAAGGGAAGTTGACTATATAAAAGTTACAGTCATCAAGTTTATCATATAGCTTGGTTGTTAGATTACCATTAACGTCCTTTCCAAGTAAAACATCCAAGTATGAAACAGATGTGTCAGAATCTGTGGTATCTTTTATCTCAAGCTCATTAGGATACATCGTATAGGCGTAGGAATGGAAATTACCATTGTTAATTGACAATACGTCGTCGATATATCTAATTGTCGAGTTGAAGGCTATAGCAAGTGTTCTTCTTTTCACGCATTATATTTTGCACAAATTCTGCTTCATATGAATATAAAAATAGGTCTGCTAATAACGTAGCGCAAATTGTACCCATGGGATTTCCAATAGATTGTTAGAATACCTGGTCTCCAAAAACTACATAGATATTGTCAATCAGAAAATCAAGCATCTTTTTGATGTTAATTTCAGAGTACTTGTGTGTGCAATCAGAATGTGTTTTAACAAAATAATTTTGTAAATGACCAATGACCAGGTAAGTAAATTTAAGAGTTCAAATGGCTCTTGATTTTGCTGGATCCTATACTCTCAAATGACCGTCAAGAAGTGGCCGAACCGTTGTCATCTCTCCTCTGTTAACGAAAGTCGCACACAAAAAAGTGCGGCTATATTAGTCCTTCTTTGATTGGGTTGTACGTGGTCTATCTGCTGCTTTTCCACTTCTTTGATAGCAATTATATATGAACAAAAGTAGCATTGCAGACACCACATTATCAACAAAGACATAAAATCTCTCACTGCTCAATGGCACTGATTGCCGAGTACACGTAAAAACTTTATTCTAACCTGCCCGTGTCTCAGAGCAAACGCTGCAAAGCAGTGGAAATCATCTGACCAAGATATGTGTAGTTTTGAAAGGCCACCTCAAAGTCCCGATTTTTAATTCCCCCCCCCCCCCCCCCCCCCCCCCCCCCCCAAAAAAAATATGGAGAGACGGGAGTTTCAGTCGAAGTTATAAAATACCATAATCTGAAGAATCTGAAAAAAGCTTTGTTTAAAAAAAGGGGGCCGTATTCAGTCGCCAGGTGTCAAAATCTGATTCGTAGTATGCCAAACATAATTACGGCAGTTTATTAGGCCAGAGATGATTATGCAACGTTCAAATAATAGCGCGTCACTTTGTTAGATCAAGCATGCAAAAGTTTCACACGTTGATCGCCACAGTTCGCATACCTTGGGTGTTTGATTTCAATGAAGTTAATATAACTTTGCATATGAAAAAAGAACCCAGCAATGCACTAATATTAATGACCAATTGAAAGATTGTATTGAATTCAATTGTATTGAAAGATCGTTTACGAGGACAGCATTGTTATAGGCAACAACACGTAGTCAGTCAAAGCCATTGTTGGCTTCTCTGGTTACATGCAAAGTAGCATGCTTTTCATTGATTCACATAAACAATCGATAAGAAATATTGTGATCAACATTCAAAACTTTAACACACTCCACACGCACGTTACTGGAATGATATTTCTTTAATTGAGAACTTACTTGCAGATAACTTGATTTTGGTACATAAGATTAGATATTTTAGTTTGTCATTTTTTTTCTTTTGTTGCATCTTTTAACATTCAAATACTTCAAATTTACATTAAATAAATGAATGTTGAGTAAGAAAATTGGGAAGTGGCTCCTTTTGATAGGTGGATACTTTTTATGGAGGGTACCCGGTTAGTGTTTATTTTAGTAAATTAAAAGTACATAAATATTACCAGTATGTATCGTCCCCGGAAGAAAAATCAATGGTTGTGCATTTGTAGTATGAAGGATAGATGGGTCTCTGGATCTCTCTATTAAACAGATAAACAGACAATGTAAAAAAAGTCCATAGATTTCTTACACACATTCCAACATTTTTAACATTCTTCGCCACATTATATTTTATTTTTAGGAAATCGTTTTTCGTTTGTCGTTTGTTGTATGTTAATATTTGAACATTTTCATCTTCTTCTCTGCAACCGCTCAATCAATGCAAACCAAATAAAGCATATATGGGTGAAGGGGGAACAAAAATGTTAATCTCACTGTCCCTGCACCCCCTGGGGCCTAAGGGTGGGACCACAACCACTACATTTATGCAATTTAAAAAAAAATCTTTTCTCAAGGACATCAAGCAGTCAAACTGTTGGCATGATTGTAATCAGCTTTGAGTCCTTTGCCAAAATTGTGTTATTCATAGCCCCGGGGTAAGGGTTCTAGTACTATAGCAAGGCTACATACTAGTAGATCAAAAAGTGAAAATGCATTATATTTCTGCATTTTTTTCCTCTGCATCTAAATATAAAGCAAACATTTAATGTGGGGATAAGATGATGTCTCTTCCCAAATTGTAAATTTCATGGCCGATAGGTCAGGTCTGTGTTAGGACGGGACTCTTATAATTATAAAGTGAAAATGCATTTATTCTTTGAAAATTTTCTCTTCTCCAGGGTATTAAAGAGAGTAACTACATACAAAGTTATCATGACAGTGGTGCTCTTTCAGACCTTTGAATTTCAATACCCATTGTCAGGGGTTTTCGTGTTAGGGCGGGCCTTTATTGATTAAATACTGAAAATCCTTTAATATTCAAAGAAAATTCTTTTCTCCTGGTGACTTTACAAACCAACTACATACATAGTTATGATGAGCAAGGGTGCCTTTTCCGAAATTGTGAATTTCATGGCCCCAAGGAACAGGGGTTTTTGTATTAGGGCTATGTGAATTATAGAAGTAAATAAGCATTTTTTTTTAAGTCCTTTTATCTGCTCCTGGGTATTAAGCAAATGATCTTGCTTCGGTATACAGTTTAGATGAGCAAGGGTCCTTCTTCCATAATTGTGAATTTCAAAGTCCCTGGGTTCATATAACCGCTGAGGGGGATTCTTTTGATGATTTGATAAAAAATTCATTAATGCTTTGAGATCTGCTTTGATATAAAATATAAAACATATATTTTGAGCAAAAATACCTTTTCCAAAATTGAGAAATATGTGACGCAAGAGTCAAGAGTTTTTTGAGGTGGGTGCACTATTGATAATTGTTTATTACTATTGATTGGCTGAAATGAATTATTTTGTTTCCCTTCTCGTTCTATGGGTATCAACTGAGAAAACTAAGTATGCTTAGTGTAGGCCTATAGTTAAGTTGAAAAATGGTGCCTCCTTCAAAATTGAATGCAATGTTTTCTGGAATAAAAGACGACCCAATTTGAATTGTTGGAAAGTTGTTGCATGATGCTCGGATGACCTTATATAGGCCTATGGTCCTCTTGTTATATACATTTAGTGTGAATGATGGATATCATGCCAAAAGTTATTTATGAATAGGTCAATAATTTTTAGATTTATGGCTGATCAATCAAATAGTCTAAGTTTCAGAGAAATATGTCGATCAAATATCGTATGCATTTTTTCAAATGAACAATTTATTTCAATAATAACAATAATATATCCGACTTTGGCGAGACCATGGCACTTTGGTGTGACCATCGCAAACTGGGGTCTATTATAGATATTGCAGGTTTTATTCTAAAACGTAACCTTACCTTCTTTCTCAATCGATGGCTTATATGAGCCTTCCTTATCTCCTTTCTCATTGGTTAAATGTTCGTCGGATTTTTGCTCTTAAAGTAGAGAAATATAAATTTATTGCTATATTCTATTTTAGTATAGTACTTTATTTCAACATATATTCCAAAGTGCGATGGGACTCTAAAGTCCGAAGTCACCCTGAGGTCCGATGGTCTGGACCAAATCCCGAGGGATTGAAACGCCAGAATGAGATGATGTGGAAAAAATAACGTTTAAGTACTTTTACGGTAAAATGCCCTGTAAAGGTAAGGGTCCTTTTAATTTAGATAAATGCAAATAAATATAAGTTGCAAAGACTAGCCTTGATCTTTTGCACAGATACGAGATTTACCATAATCAGTCAAAGAATGTAACATCAATTTTACCTAAATATCTTACTTAGGTGCTGGACTAACCCATTTCAGTCGAATTATATATGTGCGAGGTTTAACATTACAGATCACAGAGGGTTCAAAGAAGCACAGTATCAGTCCAGTTATGTTTAAGGGCTAACCCTAACCAGGACAAATCCTAACATCTCTGGCAGGTGCAAGCAATAAGCAAAATCAGTAAAATTGTATGCGGGGACGAATGCTAAAATGTTGGCTTATAAATGCAGGACAACGGTGTCAATGGTTAACGTCAGATTATTCTGACTTCATAAATGATGGTTGTCTCTATGCACCATTGGACCTTGGCGTATCAGACCTTCACACTATAGCGCATTTGAGTTGACGCATTCATCTCATTGGAGTCCCGTCACTGGATTTCTGTGTCCACGAAGACAGCGATCCATCAGGGATTGCCGCAGACCATTCAACTTTGGCGAGACCATCGCACTTGTACATGACCATCGCAATCTGAAATCCAACATATGATAAATATTGAAGTTTTTATTCTTAAGGGTAATCCTACCTTCTTTCTCAAGCGATGGCTTAAATGAGTCTTCTTTATCTCCTTCCTCATTGGTTTCTTGTTTGCCGGATTTTTGCTCTTAAAGTAGAGAAGTATAAACTCATTGCTTTATTCTATTTAAGTATAGTAAATTATTTCAATATGACTGATTCACAAGCACTTGTCTCGGGAATAAATTTTAACCGATAGTATTACAATAACACAAGGTTTCTAACTCCAAATTACACGGAGTATCCTCTTCCCTATAATCGCGCTCATTTATACTTTCAGAGAAAAGGCAGTAGCAAACTATTTGTACCCATGTCATCTACGCTAATTTATCTACACAACCATATATGGCTTGCTTGTTTTTGTTTTCTTTAATCTCCGTAAACAGCGTCAAAACTTTACTCGCCGAGTAGAAAAGTCGAACCATAAAACGGTATGTGCTAATCTCGGGCAAAGAGAAAAATTAAAGAATGCGTGGGTTTAAAAATTCAATTCCAGATTTTAAATATTGCATTGAATGAATAAAATTTCATAATGTCTTATTTTCCATAAAAACACTATGATGTTTTTCCGATGTAATTTTAGAAACAGATTTTTAGCAAGTCAAATTCGATATCTAATTCTTTGCCCGAGACTAGAACATACCATTCTATGGTTGAGTTTCACTTTCCACTCAGCGAGCAGAGTTTTGAAGCTGATTACGGCGATAAAAGAAAATAAAGAAAAACATGTCAGATATGTCTGTGTATATAATTTATCATAGAAGACATAGGTATAAACAGTTTACCCGTGCGTTTCCTCTGAAAGAGTAAATGAGCGCGATTCTAAGGGCGGGGGGTACTCAGTGTAAATCGGAGTTAGATCCCCTGTGTTATTGTTATACTATGGGTCAAAAATTTATTACAGAAACAAGTGCCTGTGGAAGGATTCCAAAGTCCGATGGTTACACTTGAGCCCGATGGTCTGTCCCTACCTTCTTTCTCAATCGATGGCTTAAATGAGTCTTCTTTATCTCCTTCCTCATTGGTTTCTTGTTTGCAGGATTTTTGCTCTTAAAGTAGAGAAGTATAAACTCGTTGCTTTATTCTATTTAAGTATGGTTAATTATTTCGATATGAAGGATTCCAAAGTCCGAAAGTTACACATCAGTCCGATGGTCTGCCCCAAACCTTAATGGTTTGGAACGCCAAATTCCGATGTTGCGAGAAAATTAATGTTTATTACGTCATAAGTATTACTGCGCAAAAATCCCGCACCATGTAAAGGTCCTTTTGTTTTAAATAAATGCAAATAAATATAAGCTGCAGAGACTAACTACTATCTTTTGCACAAATACGAGATTTACCCTAATCAGTCAAATAATGTATATCAACTTTTCTAAAATATCTTAGAAGAGTGCTGGACTAACTCAAATCATCCGAAAGATGTGCGAGAACGAACCCTACATATCTCAAATGGACTCAAAGTAGCACATTATCAGTCCAGCAGTGTTCATGGACTACATGTAACCCTTACCACGTAAAATCCTAACATCTGTAGGTGCAAACTTTTAAAAAAAGCAGTAAAATCCTATGCGTGAACAAATATTAATGCTTAAAGTCATATGCAACGTCATTTGAACTTTATCGGGTTCTTCCCTGGAGTTGAATAGTTCCACTAAATGAAGGACCTGTGTGCAATTCATTTAATGTCTATATATAGCTTTGTACACCTCTTCTAAAACAAATTTTGATGAAAAAAAATCGGGAATTTATGTTTTGTAATTTTTATACCTTTTTTCTTTGAATAATGAAAAAGGTTTCATAATTTGATATCTTATCAAAACCCCTGGTAACACATGCTGATTTTTTGTCTATGAACATGGTATGGTATTATAAGTTTGAAAATAGAATATCTTGAAAAGTTATCAGTAGGTAAGGTATACCTTGCGTATGCCCTTAAATGATGACTTTTGAATGTAGGACAACGGCGTCAAGGATTGGCGTCGGATTACTGTGACGGCATAAACCTTGATTGTTTCTTCGCATAATTGGACCTTTGCGTATCAGGTCGTCACACTTAAGGTAGATCGCGGGTTTGCTGACGTCACAATAGGACTTGACGTAAAAAGCTTACCGCGTTCAGATAAGCAAGCAAAATATCTTCAGTATGCAGTAAGTGAAATAAAATGTAAAGCTTGCTTAGTGTATTTAAATATTTTTTGTATGTAATTGAAAATAAATGCTGTTTTGAACAAGGCGGTGTTGTTTTTAACGCTGCTATCTTCTGTGTGTACGTACCTTTCTAAAATACCATTACCTAGTTGTTGCTACAATACAAAAACAGATCCACCACCGGCATGCCTGACCTGCAGTTTAGTATTTTTGTTCACTTTTATAAATGTATACAATGTAGGCCGTAAAGCTATTTTAATTCAGTTGCACTATTTCCGCTTTAAAAGCTGGTACATTTTATCAATAAATGAAAATGATACACAAACATATATGTTTGAAAATGTTCTTATATATCCGGTAGGCCTAACATGTTTTGTCCCCTTTCATCTACTTACATTTGTTATAATTTTTCCGTACTCCTGCCCTTGAGTTTAATGAAAAAAATCCACATGGCATTGAAATTGTGCCACGCTGTTGGTAAGCAATGGCAATGATTATACTGAAAAAAATGAATTCACGGATTGCATGTTTTATTTTGAGTGAATTGTTGATTAAATCATTTTTTTTTTGTAATTCAGACATACGAAAATAATGACGTCGCACCAACGTTATATAACGTCGTGAAGAAAATATCATACTTCTGATCGAAAATTGTAAAATTTTAAAAGTTTTTTTGCAAGAAATTGAGCGAGAACACATATTAATTTTTTTAATAGATCGATTCTAAATTAACTTCACATTCATTGTATCGAGTAATATAAAATTCGTCTGCTTCGTTTTTATGTTATGACCATGGTTTTGAAATGCGTATACCGGCTGAAAAGGCGCATTTTACTATATATTTCATTGAAAAGGCGTCACCTGTTCTCATCAACTTTAGCGCATTTGAATTACGATTACAATTTAACCACTCAGACAAATCTCAAAAAAATTTCAGAAGGAAAAATTTAAAACGAGAGGTGTTGCCTGACAAATTTTAAGCCTATGTTTTCAGGCAAAGAGTAAACCCGCAATCTACCTTAATCGCACCGCATCTCATTGGAATCGAGCCAACGGACTTTGACGTCCGTGAAGACAGTGAGCCATTGGGGTAAGGCGCAGACCATTAGACACTGGCATGACCATTGCAAATTGGAGTCTTACATATTTATTTCAGTTTTATTACAAAAGGCAATGTTACCTTCTTTCTCAATCGATGGATTATGTGAGTCCTTCTCAACTCCTTCCTCGTTGGTTTCCTTTTCGTCGGATTTTTGCTCTTAAAGTAGAGAATTATAGACTTATTGCAATATTTTACTTAGTTTTAGTATATTATTTCAAAATGATGGATTCCAAAGTGCGATGGTCATGCTTTAGTCCGATGCTCTGTGCCAAATCCTAATGGTTTGAAACGCCAAAGTCCGAAAGTCAGGAAAAAACGTTATTGATGTCATTTGTACTATTGCACAAAAATACCGTGCCATGTCAAGGCCCTTTTGTTTTAAATAAATGCAAAAAAAAGTTGCAAAGGCTAACTTTCAACTTTTGGACAGATACGTTATTAACCCTATTCAGTCAAAAAATGTACATCTGATTCAACTTTTTCCAAAATATCTTGGATGGGCGCTGGACCTACCCAAATCATCCGAATAATGTTGCGAGGACTAATTCTAAATATCTTAGATGGGCTCAAAGTAACACAGTATCCACCCAATAGTGTTCAAGGGCTAACCTTAACCAGGACAAATCCGAACATCTCTGGTAGGTACAAGCAATAAGCAAAATCAGTAAAATTCTGGGGACGAATGCTAAAATGTTGGCTTTTGAATGCACGACAACGGCGTCAAGGGTCGACGTTGTAATATTTTGGCGTCATAAACGTTGATTGTTTTTACGCACCATTAGACCTTGCAATTGGTGTATCAGACCATCACACTTAAGCGCATCATGGCTCAGCAGAATTGAGCCAACGGACTTTGACGTCCGAGAAGACAGCGAGTCATCGGGTTTGGTAGTAATCCGAGATTCCACTGACTTTTACCCCTGCTTTTTATATTTTGTGACATGTGCAGGAGAGAGTCAAGGCGAAGGCCGTATTAAAACGTGGGAATTCAGTCACATCAACTGTAGTCGCAACTCTGCCTACCTTTTACATATTTATTTCGCGGATCTAACTCCCGAGACGCGAGAAAACAGTAAAATCCTTCTTCTACATTAAATCGTCGCTTAAGGGATGCTTTTGCCATTCAAACGGCCCTATCACCGACAAATGGAGCTTCGCTTGCATTAGGGAGCCTCCTCGTCATTCGAATTCTTTGCGCATTACGACAGCAGACAAATACACCAGCTGGTGTTGCTAAATTCCCACTTTTCAATATGGCCTCTACTCTAACTCTCCCCTGCACATGCCACAATACAAAAACCAGCGGTAAGAGTCAAAGTAATCTCCGATTAGGTTAAGCGCAGACCATCGGACATTGGCGTGACCATAGCAAATTGTAGTCTTACATAAATACTAGTATTGTAGTTTTTATTCAAGCAAGATTATGTACCTTCTTTCTCAATAGTTGGATTGTGTGAGCCTTTCTCGTCTTCATCCTCATTGGTTTCCTTTTCGCCGGATTTCTGCTCTTTAAGTAGAGAATTATAGACTTATTGCTCTATTTTACTTAAGTATAGTACATTATTTCAACATACAAGTATACACACACCCTCACGCTGACACACATACGTAAACCAACAAAGAACAATTTTCATATTCTAGCCCTAACCGTTTAGAAGCTATGGCCAAAGTAAAAAAAAATTTGAAAATAGGTCAAACTCCAAGGTCAAGGTCAAAGGTCTTGCTATCAGATAAAAGGTCTTCTAAGAAGGATTACAAAAATGAAGTATGAGATCACTAGCCCTAAGCGTTCAAAAATTCTGGCCAAGGTTAATTTTTTTTCATAAGAACACAAATCTCCTAGGTCAAGGTCAGGATAATTGGTATCCAATGAAAGCCCTTGCCAAATAAAATAGATATGTGAAGTATGGAAGCCCTAATTTTTTAAAAGTAGGTCAAAATCCACGATCAATGTCAAATTGTCAAATGTCTTGCTATGAAATAGAAGGCCTTGTAACAAGGATTGAATATGTAAAGTTTGAAAGCGCTAGCCCTAACCCTTTAAAAATTCATTTATTGATAAAATTATGGTCAAGGTTTGCTTTTTAAAAGCAGGTGTAACTCCAAGGTCAAGGTCAAAGGGTCTAGTTTCTTGATATCCAATGAAGGGTCTTTTCACCGAAGCTTTATATGTGAAGTATGAAAGCCCTATCCCTTACCGTTCAAAAGTTATTATACCCGCACTTTCTAAAGAAAGTTTGGGTATATTGTTGTTACTCATGTCCGTCCGTCCGTCTGTCACACTTTTCTTCCCTGAACTCCTACTACATTTTACACAGTAGCTTAATCATCTTTTGGGAGATGGTTGGTGGGGTCATGTAGATGTGCAGTAAGGTTTCGGAATTTTGAATTTGCCCCGGGGGTCAAATGGGGGTCAAATGGGGGTCGAAAAATGACGTTTTTTATGCAAAAAGTCCCGTCTTCCCTGAACTCCTTCTACATTTTACTCAGCAGCCTAATCATTTTTTGGGGGATGATTGGTGGTGTCATGAAGATGTGCAGTAAGGTTTCGGAATTTTGATTTTGCCCCGGGGGGTCAAATGGGGGTCGAAAAATGACGTTTTTTATGCAAAAAGTCCCGTCTTCCCTGAACTCCTTCTACATTTTACTCAGCAGCCTAATCATCTTTTGGGGGATGATTGGTGGTGTCATGTAGATTTGCAGTAAGATTTCGGAATTTAGATTTTGCCCCCGGGGGGTCAAATGGGGGTCGAAAAATGACGTTTTTTATGCAAAAAGCCCCGTCTTCCCTGAGTACCTCTTACATTTTACTCAGCAGCCTAATCATCTTTTGGGAGATGGTTGGTGGGGTCATGTAGATTTGCAGTAAGGTTTCGGAATTTTGATTTTGCCCCCGGGGGGTCAAATAGGGGTCGAAAAATGACGTTTTTTATGCAGAAAGCCCCATCTTCCCTGAACTTCTCTTACATTTTATTCAGCAGCCTAATCAACTTTTGGGAGATGGTTGGTGGTGTCATGTAAATGTGCAGTTAGGTTTTGGAATTCTGATTTTGCCCCTGGGGATCAAATGGGGGTCGAAAAATGATGTTTTGTATGCAAAAAGCCCCGTTTTCCCTAAACTCCTTCTACATTTTCCACAGTAACCTAATCATCTTTTGGGAGATGGTTGGTGGTGTCAAGTAGATGTGCAATAAGGTTTCGGAATTTAGATTTTGCCCTGGGGGGTCAAATGGGGGTCGAAAAATGACGTTTTTCATGCAAAAAGCCCCGTCTTTCCTGAACTCCTCTTACATTTTACTCAGCAGCATAATCATCTTTTGGGAGATGGTTGGTGGGGTCATGTAGATGTGCAGTAAGGTTTCGGAATTTTGATTTTGCCCTGGGGGGTCAAATGGGGGTCAAAAAAATGACATTTTTTATGCAAAAAGCTCCGTCTTTCCTGAACTTCTCCTACATTTTACACAGTAGCCTAATCATCTTTTGGGAGATGGTTGGTGGTGTCATGTAGATGTGCAGTAAGGTTTCGTAATTTTGATTTTTCCTTGGGGGGTCAAATTGGGGTGGGAAAATGACGTTTTTTGTGCAAAAAGTCCTGTCTTTCCTGAAGTCCTCCTTAATGTTACTCAGAAGCCTAATCATCTTTTAGAAGAGTTAAATATTTTGAAAATTATGCAAAACATCAACGTCAAGGGGTGAAAAAGCATCGCATGCTGGGAAACACCTTGAATTCTTATGAGTAATTAATGTACATGTCAAATGTGAGAGTCATATCTCATCTCAATTAAAAGTTATAAGCAAAAGCAACATTTTTGAAAGGTATGTTCGGCTTCAAGGTCAAGGTCACAGAGTAAAAGTCATGATTCATTTGGAAAGGTCTTATCACAGGTAATAATATACATGCATTATAATATGAATGCCCTAACTTTTCTCTTTCAAAATGATGAATTTATAACAATTTAATTTTTTTGCAAGTAGGTCAAACTTCTAGGTCATATGTAAAAAAAAAACCCATGCCATTCTCACAGGTAAATACTAGTACATAAGTTTAATATGAATGCCTTGTCTCTTCTCATTCAGTAGATATGACCGTGATGACCAAGGTTAAATTTATTGAGACAGATGGACAGTCTGACATACAAATATACATAATTCTATATGAATTGGGAAAATATGGCCCAGTGGTTCTAGAGAAGTTAAAAATGTAAAAAGTTTTCAGACAAACAGATGGACAACACTGCACGACAGACGTTATACGATAAGGAAACCAGAAAAGCTCAAATGAGTGTTTTGAAAGGGTTACAATATGGTTCCAGTATTTGAAAAGCTGTTTTTCTCATGCAGAGATATGCATGACCAACATATTCATGTTTTATATTTTCTTTAGTAATTTGTTTGTTTGTTGTGAATACATCTCTCTCAGGAATTTTTCCCTCATATGGAGACACCACCAAATAATAATGAAGACAAGATGTGTTTGTTAAACACTGATGTCCCTGTATGGAAGCCTATGGCGAAGGTTGAAGTTTCTCAAATATATGTCAAACTCAAAGGTCAAGGTCAAAGGGTTCAAATTATTGGTATCAGAAGAAAGTCTTGTCACAAGGAATGCACATTTGAAATAAGTAATCCCTAGTACTTCCTGTTCAAAAGTTAATTGCCAAGGTTAATTTTTTTTAAGTGGTTCAAACTCTAGGGTCAAGGTCAAACATATTTATACATGTTGACAGTTCACAATGAATACACATATTAAGCATGAAAGCCCTAGCACCTACTGATCAAAATCTATGCCAAGTTTAAAGTTTGCCATTTTTCTTGTAAAAATGTGTATCTTAGGTCAAGCGATCAGAGGTAAAAATTAATGGTACCCAAGTAAAAGGTCTTAATTGTCACAAGAAATAAACCTATAAAATGTGGAAGCCATTTGTATAAACCTATAAAATGTGGAAGCCATTTGTATAGCCCATCCCACTTAAAACTTATGGGCAAGGTTATAATTTCTGCAGACAAATAGACAGACATAATATAAACACAAGAAAAAAATATGTATAATTAGTCAAATGGAAAAAAATATACTATTTAATTGGCATCACAAAATAGATTGTTATTTCAGGGACAGGGAGTGGGTAGGGAGATTGGACCCCCCCCCCCCTGGAATTAGCTTTGTTATTTAAACAAGACTATATACTGAAGCAAATAAGAAATGAATTTGGACATCCTCCCCCTAACTTAGAAAACATTGACCCCACTATCATTGTTTTATTTTGTTTATTTGTTTTCAGTTTTTTCTCTCCTGCTTGTCAGGAAAATCTGGGCTGGAATTTTTTGACTGAAATGTGAACCCCCCTCCCTACTCCCGAAAAAAGTTCTGGATCCGCACCAGTATTGGCAGTAACTGAATGTCACATTGACAACGGGAGATAACTTCACAATATGAAATTCTTCTAATGTGGCATGCGATGATCTTTGACCCTTTTTGAACTTTAACCTAATCGTTTGGATTTATTTTACCCCCACTATACCATGTATACTTAAACTTGTACTTACTGACCTCCATAGGTCTTGTCAACTTCATGAAGTAATAGTATTATCCAATTATAACAAAAAATGAATTAATCCAATGCACACCAGACTGCAGCATGTGTGCTAATGCTATTCCATTCGGCAAACCTTCGTGCCGTCGATTCCGTCATCTTATCAGATGAAGTGGGAATCGGCCGAGGTGTGCCGAATGGAGTTTAATCTAAAAATATGATAGTGGGTGACGCAACGTGATGTGATGTAGAAATTTACATGTTAACATGTATAGTACAAGAACAAATTTTAAATTAATTCATAACAAACGATGTTTTAACAAAACTGTTAACGTTCCATCTAGCCTATTCCAAAAAGTATGTGCAGTGTGATTGTGGTGTCGAAAGGGGGGGGGATTAGTAAATTTAAAAAGGTCCTATTATGAGCAAAACATTTATTAAAATCTAATTTACATCATTAATAGAATTCAAACTGGTATATAATGAATTAAGCATGTAAAATAAATATAAGAGGTTCTGAGTTATAGGTCACAGGGAGAATTTCATACTCAATTTGATGAATACATGTAAATTATATAGAATTATTTTGACTTTTTCCTTGGAAAGCCGCCCAATATGTAGGAGCGTGTATTTAGAGGCAAACACCTTCGTGCGGGTATTACTGTCTCATGACAGCATCTAGTTTAAGAAGTGAGGAAATTTCCAAGGTCAAGATCAAAGGTGAAAGTTGTTGGTTTCCAATGGAAGATCTTTAAACAAAAAATATATATGTGAAGTATAAATGTCCTGGTATCTACTGTTAAATGGCCAAAGTAAAAGTTTGGAATTTTTGTGTAAAAGTAGTTCAAACTCCAAGGTCAAGGTCAAGATGTAATATTTGGTGGTACCCAAAGAAAGGTCTTTTCACAAGGAATACACATGTGAAATATGAAATTCATATCTCAACTAAATCAGAAGTAATGGGCAAGATTAAAGT